GTACAGTATAAAAACCATTACGCCTATGGAATGTCCCCATTTAGATAGCTAAGTAAACGTGTGTGTGTGTGTGTGTGTGTGTGTGTGAGTCCTGGTCACAAGGTATTGCATGTGAGCTGCTGTTGCAGCTGCAGTGGGTCCTGAATAGTGCATTTTTGCTGACAGCATTCCTGGCTGTATACGCAGTTGCACAACTACCTGTTTATCAATGAGTTTCCACTGCAGGAACACACACATATGAGTGTGAAATTAGGTCATTCTAAACATAATGGTGCAGTCTACTTTTTTTAGATTAACAATGATATTCCTATCAGCAGTGATTCTGATCAGGTCTTAGCATAAAATGTCCCATAACTTGTACAAAACAATGCAATATATTAAGTGATATAAAGATATACATATTAAGTAGAAAGAATGGAATTCTGTTACAAATCCAATAAATAAACCATTATAACCAATTAATCCACATCCATCAATTATAGTAACAAATGTAGTTCTAAATGTAGCATTTGTCTCTAGAAATATATTAATTTTACCATTTGTACTTTTGTGTAATATTGTGATTGAGGTAGGTATAAAATACTTCCTAAAACAATTATACTTGCACAGGCAAAATTTACCATCTAGATTAACAGCTCATGTGTATATAGTACTGAAAGAAAAATTTGCAACCACAATGCAGCGTTACATCACTAAACTGACGTGCATGACATAAGCAGCCTATTATACCTTTGAAGGCTAAAGTTTTTCAAATATAAATTTTTTACAATATCACACTTAAGATCCGATTATTATAAACCAATAAAAGCAGTTTTTATATTTAATACGAATATTATTTATTTCTTTGCATGCATATTCAACGGGCATAACGAGTTAGGAAACAACAGACAAGCTTTACGTTATGGGTAAACCAGGTTCTTTTCAAAACATGCTGTGATTAGACAGAAAATACAGACACATATTCATCAGTGGAATGAAAACTATGTTATTTACAGTAGCATTGACTGGGCCCACAGCCACACTCCCTCCCCTCCAGCAGAGCTGCTGTACGATATAAATGTGAGACACAGCCGTCAGCCGTCTGGCCAGAGATGCTATGAGCTCCAACATGAGGGCACTGGGACTGATTATTGTAACTCTGCTGCTGCTGACAGCGGGTGAAGGTACAGCTGCATGTAAACAATACAATACAAGTCTTGATCTATTATTCAAAGAAATGTGATGTGCATTTGTTGATACGACTTGCTGGCAAACACTACAGTTATGACTGCTGGACAATATGGATTGTGGCTTTGCTCATGTTTTAACTCAGTTTGAACTTTTCCTGAAAGCTGATGACATAGATGTGCAGGGCTGGACTTGTGGATATCGAGGGCTGTGCAGGAAGCACTGCTACGCGCAGGAGTACATGATTGGCTACCATGGTTGCCCCCGAAGATACAGGTACTCAAACGTTCTTCAGTGGATGTCATTGCTTAGATTTTGTTTTGTATTGTTTTGATGGTTATTGCATGCTGTGAATTACATTATACAATTATTTTTGTACAAAATTGTTGCATAAATTCACTTACAATTAGTGCTGTCAAACGATTAATCGCGATGAATCACATCCAAAATAAAAGTTTTTGTTCACATAATATATGTGTGTGTGTACTGTGTATATTTATTATGTACGTATATAAATGCAAACACATGCATGTATATATTTAAGAAAAAATATGTTTATATAATAAATATATTTATATATAATATACATTATATGAATATAAAAATATACATGAAAATATTTTCAAAATATATGCTGTATGTGTGCGCTTTTATATATATACATAATAAATATACACAGTACACACATATATTATGTAAACGAAAACTTTTATTATGTATGCGATTAATCGCGATTAATCGTTTGACAGCACTAATTGTAAGTGAATTTATGCAACAATTTTGTACAAAAATAATTGTATAATGTAATTCACAGCATGCAATAACCATCAAAACAATACAAAACAAAATCTAAGCAATGACGTCCACTGAAGAACGTTTGAGTACCTGTATCTTCGGGGGCAACCATGGTAGCCAATCATGTACTCCTGCGCGTAGCAGTGCTTCCTGCACAGCCCTCGATATCCACAAGTCCAGCCCTGCACATCTATGTCATCAGCTTTCAGGAAAAGTTCAAACTGAGTTAAAACATGAGCAAAGCCACAATCCATATTGTCCAGCAGTCATAACTGTAGTGTTTGCCAGCAAGTCGTATCAACAAATGCACATCACATTTCTTTGAATAATAGATCAAGACTTGTATTGTATTGTTTACATGCAGCTGTACCTTCACCCGCTGTCAGCAGCAGCAGAGTTACAATAATCAGTCCCAGTGCCCTCATGTTGGAGCTCATAGCATCTCTGGCCAGACGGCTGACGGCTGTGTCTCACATTTATATCGTACAGCAGCTCTGCTGGAGGGGAGGGAGTGTGGCTGTGGGCCCAGTCAATGCTACTGTAAATAACATAGTTTTCATTCCACTGATGAATATGTGTCTGTATTTTCTGTCTAATCACAGCATGTTTTGAAAAGAACCTGGTTTACCCATAACGTAAAGCTTGTCTGTTGTTTCCTAACTCGTTATGCCCGTTGAATATGCATGCAAAGAAATAAATAATATTCGTATTAAATATAAAAACTGCTTTTATTGGTTTATAATAATCGGATCTTAAGTGTGATATTGTAAAAAATTTATATTTGAAAAACTTTAGCCTTCAAAGGTATAATAGGCTGCTTATGTCATGCACGTCAGTTTAGTGATGTAACGCTGCATTGTGGTTGCAAATTTTTCTTTCAGTACTATATACACATGAGCTGTTAATCTAGATGGTAAATTTTGCCTGTGCAAGTATAATTGTTTTAGGAAGTATTTTATACCTACCTCAATCACAATATTACACAAAAGTACAAATGGTAAAATTAATATATTTCTAGAGACAAATGCTACATTTAGAACTACATTTGTTACTATAATTGAATTAATTGGTTTAATTGGTTATAATGGTTTATTTATTGGATTTGTAACAGAATTCCATTCTTTCTACTTATCTTTATATCCTTTATATCACTTAATATATTGCATTGTTTTGTACAAGTTATGGGACATTTTATGCTAAGACCTGATCAGAATCACTGCTGATAGGAATATCATTGTTAATCTAAAAAAAGTAGACTGCACCATTATGTTTAGAATGACCTAATTTCACACTCATATGTGTGTGTTCCTGCAGTGGAAACTCATTGATAAACAGGTAGTTGTGCAACTGCGTATACAGCCAGGAATGCTGTCAGCATTTACACACACATACACACAGGTTTGTTTTTGTGAATTGTGGGGACATTCCATAAGCGTAATGGTTTTTATACTGTACATACTGTATGTGCTATCACCCTACACCTAAACCTATCCCTTACAGGAAACGGTGTGCATTTTTACAATTAAAAAAAAAACTTTGTTTACTTTATTTTTATACCAGTTTTACAAATGAGGACATCCCCAAAGGGAGGATTTTGTCAGGTTTAGCTCACTTTTGGGTACAAATTTGTCCCCAAAATATGTAAAGTAGGTACACACACACACACAACCCATCCACAGTCAGAAAAAGTGTTGGGTAAAGAACCTAACTGAACATTATTCCATGTTATGTATGTATGTATGCATTTATTTATTTGTTTGTTAATTTATAATAATAATTATTATTAGTAGTAGTAGTAGTAGTAATAGTTTATTTATTAATTTAATTTAATTTATATTCTGACAATAAAATGGGTATATATTTAAATGAGTATGATTATGTCTGTTCACTTCTCTGCCAATAACATGTTATTTTCAGTAATCAGCCACCAGAGGGAGTGGGTGCATTAAACCAGTTCTCTGTGCATTCTGCATCGATAGAATAAAAAGTTGAGCAGTGCATTGGTTATATTTAATTTCTGTTTAAAGGCTCTGGGTAATGAACTGATTTACTCAATTATTTACAATATCATATATTAGCACTACATTATCAGTTATAGCATGTATACTATAACGTACTAAATAATGTAGAATTAATTTTAGTAAACATTTTGATTTAATGCATGTATGTACATAGAGTAGGCTACTAGCTATATTTGGATTATACATTTTAATTCTAGCTTATAGTCCAAATATAGTTACACGTGACATTTGCGTTTTTAGTCACTTGTTCTGTGCGTGGCGTCTCGCGTCACGTTTTATCAAAACAGTTCAGCTTTTTAAAACGCGGCGGTGCGTTCCGTTTGGTTTCGTTGCGTCGCGTCGCGTGTGTATCGTACGCGTCCTCCGCTGCGGTGACGTCACCCTCTAAACACCGCGCGCAGGTAGCTCGCGTGTAAACAATAACAGATGCAGGCGAGGGGAGCCCAGGACCAAACAAATGCTACATCTCACTGGTTTGTCGCAGCACATTTTACAGGAATGGCATGTCTTATGGCAGCCTTTTCAGTCAACAGTACTACAGAGACCAACTCCATCATAATGGTAAGATTTAAACATTCATTTAATAATCAGATTTAATATTTGTTAAACATATTCTTAATAAGCTGCATTTAAAAAAAAAAAAGTATGTTTAAAACACGCATCAGTGATGTGTTTATTTCAGATGAACCAGAATAACCCTCACCGACTCCATGACTTTATCATCTAAAATGCTGTGCACTTATATACTTTCCTGTTGTCATAGATTGCATGACTTATTTTAAATGCATAATCCATTGCGCAGCTGGATGCAATAATCGCATGCCAATGTGCATTGGCTCGTTTAGTTTACACTCGAAGTAGATTGGTCTCTCTAAGCGAGATCCCAATTTCGTCGGTCATCCGACGTGACGTCGAGAGTGACCGACTGAAAGGGAACTATTAATATAGGCTACTATACCTTCCTCAAATTTGCAACCCTAATGTGCATTTTATTAAACAATCAAGTGCATTTACAGGTTAAATTGTTGCATGGAGTTCTGTTACAAAAATACTGTCTTGTACCATCATGTTACAGTGATGTTATTAGAGAGCAATAGCATGGTCATTTGATGGTAATGTACTTCAAAATATACCATGGAAATATTGTTGTACACCACAGATATGGTATGGCCAAGAAATACCACTGTGCTTACGGTGATATAATGAGATGAATGATTTATAGTTTATAGATATAAAATAGTATGTTATTATATACACTGCTGTTTAAAAGTTTGGGATCAGTGAGATTTTTTACTTTTTTTTTTAATACAGAAGTCTCTTATGCTCATCAAGCCTGCATTTATTTCATCAAAAACACTACTATTGTGAAATATTATTACTATTTTAAGTAATGGTTTTCTATTTATTTTTGTTGTATTTTCATCAGCCATTTTCTTCTTCTTATTATTTTTGTTTTGTGATAGCTAATAGTTTTAGTAAAGATATTTTGTATAAATGCTGTTTAAATTTTTTTTATTTTTTCAAAGAATCATGAAAAAAGTATCACAGGTTCAATCAATCAATCAATAAATCAATCACTATTATTTTGAATTGTTATAATATTTAACAATATTACTGTTTTACTGTATTTTTTGATTAAATAAATGCAGCCTTGATGGGCATAAGATACTTCTTAAAAAATAAAAAAAAATCCAAACCTTTAATAGCATGCTATTTTATAATATCTGCGAATATTTATCTTAGTATTCAGTAGTCATCTTTTTGTGGTGTCATTTGAATCTTCTTCTTTACTCTACACTTTTTTCAGTGTGACTTGTGATAAAAATCGTTGATGTCTTTTTGTTGATGTCAAAAAAGTCGATACAAATCATTGATGTCAAAGCAGAGAGTTTGTTGTCCTCAGTACAAACTCCTCAGGTCTTTTCCCTCTGGCTTGCAGTGTGTTACATAAGCGCTCCGTCTGTCCTCCCTCAGAATACAAATGGACCTCCCGATCTCATGCTAGACCCCAGAACCGTGTGCGTGTCCATTGATGAACTGATGTCCGGTCACGTCGGCAGTCAGCAGACGCCGCTGTTACACAGATACCTGAAGAAAGTAGAGGACACTCTGACCGAGGCCCAGCGCTTTTCCTATCTCCCCCGCAGACCCGCAGTCAACATCGAATTCAAAGACCTCTCGTACTCAGTTCCTGAAGGACCCTGGTGGAGAAAAAAAGGTAAGGTGTGACCTTCAATCATTGAAGCACTGCAAATGTCATTTGAATGAAAATATCATAAAAGTAAAGAATTACTATTCAGGTTTTACTACAGAATTCAAATGAGTTCAGAGAGACCCTTGTGAATAAGTAGTGCACTTAATAGTGCTAAATGTGCAGTTTTACTGTAATTCAAGTTTTAAAAATGAAAAAAAAAAACATACTGCACGTAATATTAATGAAATGAAAGGCCACTTAAGTGTACATTTCAAGAGCACACTTTCATGACTGTTTCTTAACACACTTATGTACACTTTAAGCACAATTAAGTTGCGCTTTGTAGTAATGTCAAACTAAAAGTTTTACTTTAAAATGATAGTTTTAATAACCGTTTGTTGTGCTTTAAAGAGGTACACTTATTCTGATTTGTTGACTAACATACTAAAAAGTAAATGTAAGTACTTGATTATGTTTTTAACTGCAGTGTGTTATTCAATAGGACATTTAAAGTTAATATTAAATCAAATTAAAAATAAAATTTACTGAATTGAAACTTTATCTTTACAGATGTTACATACATACAAGTTTCAATAGAATGACATTAAAGTATTTTTTAGTTTACTATAAATGATTGTCGGTATATTCAGCAGTACACTTTTAATTATATTTTTTTAAAAACATACGGTAACACTTTATTTTAAGGTGTCCTTGTTACACGTTACATGTACTTACTATTATAATAACAGTTATAAATTATGCATAATTACATGCAAGTAACCCTAAGCCAAACCCTAATCCTAACCATATAGTAAGTACATGTAGTTAATTACTATTACTCAGTACTTAAATGTATAATTACACTGTAACAAGACACCTTAAAATAAAGTCTAACCAAAAATATATATAAATATGTACTTAGGTCAAAAAAAGCACTCTAAAGTGCAGGTAGTAGCATATGAATTAAACTGAAACTATAATACATTGTCATTTATTTGCAATTAACATGCAATTGAGTGTCCAAAAACATCACATTCTGTTCACACCTAAGTAAATAATATGTTTTTAAGAATTGTATTTCCAAACTTAACAGTTATTTAGTGTGCTTTCTTTAAACAAATATGCAGACTGCAAATTTATGTCTAGAAAATGTATTTTAAAAGCACACTACAAATGGATTTTAAGGGAAATGTCTGCACTAATCAAACATCTTGCTATACATTTTAATTGAATTTATTTCTAGGGGATTTGTTGGTTTCTGTTGTAAATATTCTGGGAATTGGATTGATTTCAGTGGGAATGGTTTGTTTTGTATACAGCTTGGCAGTGATATAGAGAGTATGCATTTCGCCAAAAGTGCTCCAAAAGTGTCCTTTTCGATGGATGTTATCCTGAAATGCCTCCATGCATAACTCAGAAGGGAATTCATTAATTAAGCACTGAGGCTGACATAACAGCCCAGCTGTCTTACTTTTACCTTAAGGAGCAGGGTTTTACTGATGGGCAGTGATGTCTTCATTAGGCTCACCAACTGGATTGTAAATTGATTTGAAGTTTCTTGGACAAGGCAAATGTTCAGCAGCTTTGTCACTGGCAGTAAATCAAGCCTGAGCAGAGGGCAGAGTTCAGCTCCAGAGATCGGCTGTCTTCATCCTTCAAGATGCGCAATTTGTTGTGTTTACTACATTTTGTCATCTTCCCCTATAGCTATTTTGGATGTGTTTATTCACTGCTCAGTGTGACCTAGGCCTTCTGATAAAAACAGTGAATAGCTGTTAGTGTTTAGCACTTAGTTTGTTTATTCTTATCACACATAGAAAGGTGTTTATCCTGATAGGCATGCATGCATGCATAAATAAATAAATATAAACATATAAAAAGAATTAAAAATAACTAACTGAATGAATGAATTAATGGATTAATGAATGAATGAATGCAAACTTCCAGATAAATCTAAGGATTTCTGACTAGTCTTTAGGAAGCAAAACAAAACAAATGTTTAATAAATTTAATTTCATCATTGTGCCAGATGAAGACCTGACTGGTTGAAATGTTGCACTGTTTGGTAAATATATTTTTAGAGCTTTATTTTCAGTAGAATTTTTATTTTATTTTTGTTGATGTGAACACCTTTTATTATTATTATTACATTTTTTAGATTTGTTTCTAATAAATGTAATTAATATAATTAATGAAAATATAGATTTGTTTTATTTATTGAACTATTGGTCTCTGAAATGTTCCATTTTGTGGCTCTATGCCATAAATAACTAAATGAATGAATTAATTAATTAATTAATGTATTTCATGCTTAAGGTCCTTGGACACTGAGTCCGAAATTTTCGTATGCGTTTTTCAGTTTTTTTCGTATTCATCATCCGTTCCTATCAAAATGCTTGCTACGGATGCGAAAACGCAGAAAATCGAACCTGGTCCGAATTTTTTTATGACGGACAAAAGTTTCGGAGGCAGTGTGTAAACGTGATTGACACAACGTGAGGTCGTAATTATTTTTTAAAGTGCGAAAATAGTATATATATATATATATATATATATATATATATATATATAAACTGTACTTGCAGGTAGCATAATATTACTGAAATAAAAGGCCACTTAAGCATACTTAAAGGGAGTGCACTTTAATTACTGTTTTAACACATTTAAGTGCATTTTTTTAAAAAGTGCACTTTGTTATAATGTCAAAATAATCACAATAATCACATCAAAATAGGGTCACTTATTCTGATGTGTTGACTAACATGCTAAGGGACTGGCTGATAAAGTACTTGATTATAATAAATTTCAAGTTAATATATTTTAAATGTGCTAAATTTCAAGTTTATCATTTCAAATGTGTAATTGCAAATAAATTGCTTGCTACGGATGCGAAAACGCAGAAAATCGAACCTGGTCCGAATTTTTTTATGACGGACAAAAGTTTCGGAGGCAGTGTGTAAACGTGATTAACACAACGTGAGGTCGTATTTATTTTTCAACGTGCGAAAAATTCGGACGAAAAATTCGGACTCAGTGTGCAGAGACCTTTAGTCTGAGAATTAAAGAATAATAAAAAAAAATTATTTTGTCATCATATGGCACTTTTATAGTTGCCTCCATAAATTATCATTTTCCTTGGAAAAATCCGTATACATAATAGTGTGCAGGTTGTGTATGACATGAGAGAACATTTTTAATTTCTGGTTCAATTATTCCTCTTGAAGTCAGTTTGAACTTGTCATTCAAATTGTACTGCATTGTGAATAGTTACAGTTTGAAATGTGGAAACTTTTGCCTGAAGTACAGAAGCAAGTTTCAATGAAACTTCAGTGCCACACTCCAGTGTCGCTTCGTGTCATGAAATATACATAAGTCCAGGTCCCATAGCCAACTGGCTCATCGTTCTGGTGGCTCACTCATCGACTTAGGTTCAATCCTCTTAGATTGCCATCAGCTTTTTTGTCCTTCTCCAAAAAGAAGATAATTTTTTAAAAAGTGCACTTTGTTATAATGTCAAAATAATCACAATAATCACATCAAAATAGGGTCACTTATTCTGATGTGTTGACTAACATGCTAAGGGACTGGCTGATAAAGTACTTGATTATAATAAATTTCAAGTTAATATATTTTAAATGTGCTAAATTTCAATTTTATCATTTCAAATGTGTAATTGCAAATAAATTTGAATGCATGTAATACATGACATACAAGACTACATATACACTGTTTCAACCCAACTTTGGGTCAAATATGGACTAACCCAACTTTTGGGTTAAAAAAATTAATATAAAAATTCAACCCAACTGCTAGGTTAGTCCATATTTGACCCAAAGTTGGGTTGAACCAGCCCAGCATTTTTAGAGTCAAGTATATTTTAATTTACCATAAATGCTTATCAGTACATTCTGTAGTAAACTTATCTTTAAGACAATAAAAGTAAATTCCCTTGTGGTGAAATATTTTGAGAAAGCCACAGACCTGGAATTGAGTAGTAGCCTAAACAATATACTGTGTCCTACATACTATAAACTAAGAACTGTGCGACAATAAACATTTCACAGTTGTATTCTACATTGTTTTTACATGGACTTATTAGGTTTGTCACATGACTTCATGTTCATGTATTATTCCACAAATGGCATTCAGTTATCATCTCGGAAATTAAAACTAATTTGCGTTTTCAATTTTTGAATGAGTTCAGAAAAAGACGTGGCTGATATTACTTTCAGTTCATTTGAGACACTGGAAATGAAAAGTCGGGTCGAGAGCATTCATTGCCGTAAACAAATATTGCATGCAGCGTGCTTTGCTGTGCACTGCACATTATGGCAAATATAGTAGCAAAATCAGGTATTTAATGCATACAGGAAATTGACACATATACGTACTCCATACTGCAGAAATAATAGTATTAGTAATATGCTGTTCTAAACATAGTACCTTTTTCTGTGGAATAATGTTCACAGAGGCATCATTCGTAGGAAATGCATTAGAAAAATACATATATAGGACTAATTTTGTTTTCATGAACGACTTTATTCCACATTTTCGTCTCTACTGCGTCACTTGTGGACGCGCGTTCACGTCAGTACCATGACACGAGCGTGTGGCGGCGTCATCACGCCGGATCTGGGTTAGCGACGGCGCCGCCACACGCTCACGCACGACATGGTACTGTCGTGAACGCGCGTCCACAAGTGACGCAGTAGAGACGCGCAGTTACGGGTTTGGAACAACACGAGGGAGAGTAATTAATGACATAATTTTCATTTTTGGGTGAACTAGCCCTTTAAGAAAGTCTATCTGACATGCTATCAACAGCTTTGTTTCACCAAAAAGCTATAGAGAGTGATGGGCAACTTAGGCTTGTTTATTATCACTTGACTGCAATAGAAACCGGGCCTGAGCTGTCTAACAAACTTTGTAATCCATACTTAAGAGGAAAGAGAGAACGAGCAAAGGCACTGCCAGCAGCCCAGCTCCGCTCTCACAGCCGGTTACCATCGGTCAATAAACTCCAG